TCTTTACCTTTCCAAAATAATAAATTCTTTAAAGTTCCTGGACAATTTCTAAATTTGAATTCTTCTCCATTAAATGATATTGTATTATGCTCTTTAGCTTCAAATACTCTTTTAAAATCTTGTGTTTGTATAGAATCATACTTTTCTGCAAAGTATCTATCATATACTCTCATTAAATCCCAACAAGAATAACAAAGAGATTTAAGAAAAGGAGATTGAAGCTTCATTAAAGTACCTCTTCCATAAGTAATTATATACTGATCAAGAATTCTTGGATCATGTTGTTGTCTTTCTTTAATCATAAATAACAAACTCATTGTATAAGGATTAAATTTCCCAGCTCTACCATAAATAACACCCTTTTGAATAAAATTATAACTGTCCCATAAGGTTTTATCGACATCCCAAAGCATTAAAAGCCTGGAGTTAATATTAATCATTTCTTCAGTTTCAAAATCTTTATCTTCAATAAAATTCATAACAGAAGCATCTTTAATATTATTAGGATCTTCTTCATGATGGTTGTGAAGTTGATAATGATGATTACTACTAATACTATTACTATCACTACTCTCTGATTGATTTTGTTCACGATCTTGGATATCTAATAAAAACTTATTAACAGATGAGAAGCTCTGTACCTTAGCCATATCGTCTTTTTCTTCATTTTCTCTAATTAAAGAGCTTTTCTGCTGTTTTTTAGCTTGGCTCTGACCTTTTAAGAAATTTTTATCTTTCTCCAAAAATTGGTTAGATTCCTTTTCCGTAATTTTAAGCTCAAAAAGTTCTGAACTTGATAAGAAGAAATAGTCCATAGACTTAAGAAAATGCATTGTATGATCACATAATGCTTCGCATAAAGTAGTTCGACCAATTTTATCAGATACAGAATCTAAATTAGCCAAATGATGATCAGAATCATAAGGTATCAAACCACCAAAACAAGAATTAAAACAACAATCTTTGTAGTTGCTAATTCCTCTTGTTCCTCCATGTTTCAATATTTCCTCATAGAATTTAATGACATCAAATTCTTGGAATCCAGTACCAATTTCGGCAAAATTATCGGTTACAAAATCTGAAACTAGCATTGCAAGTATTGCCAATCTGAAAGGAGCTGGACCAGATTTCTTAGAAGAGCTTGATGTATAAGAATATCTGGTGTTGTTTGCTGACGTTAGCTTAACATCTTGATAGATTTCACAAGTACTTTTTTCTGAGGACTTAGCATCATTATTTTGAGCAAAAATATTAATAGCTCGAAATAGAAATGCAAATAAAACACAAAGTAAGCTAGAAGCTTTCATTTTTTTTTTTCTGTTAGCTTGAAAATTTCTCTTTTACACTCCCTTGGCAAATATTTACCATTGAAATTTAACAAAATGTTTGTTAGCCAAGTTTATCAACACATGGATGATGAATTAGCTAAACAAAATGTCCTCAAAAGTAAGTCTTTCAAGTCTTTTTTGTCCCTGAATTAATTTATTATTTTAAGGAATCCACTAAATTACAGAGCTTGATTAATATAATATATGAAATTAGAATAGATCATTTGGCGGGAAAGAGTGGTCTATTAAATAATTGAATAGGAACTATGGCAAGCAGAAGTTAAAAAAAAAGTGAGAATTGAGATCTAAGAAAACTAGCCATAAAATGGGGCTTTTTTTTTGTATAATATTGTAGATGACTATGTTAATTTTGAGCTTTTGAGAGTTTTATTTTGATAATTTTATGATAAGACTTGAAGAAGAGCTAAAGCTATATGCATAATTCACACTATGGCGGTATTGTAGTAAACTCCGTCATTAAAAGAGCATTTAAGGTCAATTTCAACAGACTTTACCATCATTTCGCTGTCATTTGAATTTGTAGAGAATGCAATAACTCCCAATTGGGGATTCTTTAATAATGAAGCTCCACCACTTCCGATTACATTAGTAATGGAAACATCAATTTCAAAGGAGGATTCCCTGTCTACAACGAATGGGACAGCTAGAAGAGTAGGAGGGATAGATTTGTCAGTTGTGTACTTTTGGGTAGGGTTATCAAAAAAGCTTTGACCTTCAACAGTAAAGGAGGAGTTCCAGTCGAATTTATCCATGAGGAAAACTTCAAACTCTCCATTAGCAGTGAACTTAGAGAACTCTATTTTTGCTTTAGCTGAGGTGATAGTATTTAGACAAGGGACTTTAGAGAAATCGAATGCAGCTAGAACAACACTGTTTAACTTGGCAGTTGCAACTGTGGAAGTGGAGCTCCAATTGGTTTTAGTAAGTTCTCCAAGCTTCAGATTTTTGAGTTTAGTCTCAAAGCTCCCTCCAGATATGACTCCATTAGAGAGGGAGGATCCTGGATTCCATTTGATCTCCATAAAAGGTAGAGCTAGGTTTATATCTTGACTTGAATCCTTAGATTTTGGAAAACCATAGAATGTGATAAGGCCTAGATTAAGTTTAGATTCGTTGATTGCTTTTTTAACCAGATCTAATACATCAACTCTGGTTGTCCCTCCAAGCTTAAGCTTGAAATCCTTGCTTGAGATTGCTGTTAAATCGTTTGAACTGGTTAAAGTGGAAGTTTTTAGAGTCTTTACAATACTGAGGGTATAATCGAGTGTTTTGTGGGTTTCAGTTAAGCTGTTTTCATTTTGATTTCCATTTTCGCCAGAATTTGAGCTTGAATTTGAGTTTGAGCTTGAATTTGAGTCCGAGGTTGAATTTGAGTCTGAGTCTGAGGTATCTATGTTTTCTGAAGAGGCATGTAATTTCTCTACAATGGTAATATTCATTTCTTGTAAACTTTCAGTGGTGATGAAAGGTATAGAAAACTGTGAGACAAATGCAGAATTGCCAGAAATGGACGTTTTATTTGCTTGAGTGATATCTTCAAAACCTAATGATGAATCATAATTGACAGCTTTTCCATTACTATCAAAGAAAGAAGTTTCAACAGAAGCAATATTTGGGTTTGAGAAGACTTGCGTGTTAAGATGATCCATAGATTGGAAAGTTTCAGAAGGATCAAACTGATATGTGATTTTGGCTTTGTTGAGAGTAAAGATCGCTCCTACGTAGTTTTCTGGTAGAGATAGACTAATGAATACATTCTCAATAGCTAATGTTGGAGATTTCTGGAATAGCCGTGTAATATCAACAATTAGGGTTTTAATCCCAGATTCTAGAGATAGTGGTACAGATATAGAGTTGATTGGCTTCTCAAAGCTTTCTCTAAACTCTTTGTAATTTAAATTAGTAATGGAGAATGTTGGCTTTAGAAGAGAAATTTGGATATCTGTAACAACTTGCTCAGCTGATTTAAATACTGAGATAGGAATGTATATTTTGGCACTCTTGATAGCAAATACTACTCCAGCCAATTGGAGTTGGAATCCAAAGATTCCTATTGCATTAGTAGATTGAAGGGAAGTAATTTGAACAAGGCACTGTCCTCCGAAGGTTTTTGGACAATAATCATTGAATCTAGCTTTAAGCTTATCATTATAATCTATGATAGATCTTCCAAAAACTGATGATGTCCTAACTTGAATATACTTACTCTGTTGAATGGCCTTTTCACCAATTCCTCCAAATTCGTAGATTGGAATCGTATCCACAGCCATGTAAAACCTAGCAATAGCAAATACATCCATGCTAAGGACAACTTGAGTAGAAGGAGAAGAAGGTAAAACCATGATAGATATTCGACTTAACTCAAACTCGTTGGGTAAGTAACTGAACAATCCAACAATATCAATAGAATAAAAAGTTTTACCTGGAATAATATTTTGTTCAATAGAATGGAAAGAAGATCCTCTAAGTATTGGAATAGTTTCTTTCCCATCTTCTATTTTTTTTGTTACTGATACCAATCTAACACTTATTTTGGAATTAACTTTGGGATCTTCAGTTCTAAAGATTACCACAAATTTGTTAATGAGTGTAATACTTGGTATTGCGGAAGTATCAAAAGTATATATAGCTGAACCAAGAGCTACATTTTCTTTGGACAGAGACAGTCGAATATTAGATGATGATGATTTATCATAATACTTAAAGTCAGTAGATATTGGATATTGTTCACAATCAAGATTTGGACATATATCTGGACTATAAACAATCCCCTCAGCTGATATACATCTAATTAGATATTCATTTGAGACTGAATTATATGGTGAAAGTGGGAATAAAGAATTATAGTCTGAAAAAGTCTTACTATTCAATAGATCTCCAAAAATAGTACTAACATTAGCTTTTGAAATGTCAATAGGTTCATCCCATGAATCTACTAAAGCATCGTTAATTTTCTCTCTTGACAATAAACTTGTTGGATCAAATATTCCAGAATAATCTGGAGCACCTTCTACAGCAGTAAACAAGACTAAAAACGGGACTATAAGTCCTGATAATAGTTTTTTTCCCATTATTTAGATAATAAGTATTCTCGTTTTTTCTTCTTTTTTCTTCAATAAAAAAACTATCTTGTATTATATTTCACAATTTAAATCCGTAAAACCTAGCTATTTGATAATAAATCACTTAAGATTTCCTTTGCTCAGATCAAGATTGTTTTAAATCTTTTTTCTGTATTTTCACACAATTCTACCTAATTTGATTTGGCGCCTTTTGTATATCGCAAGTATCCATTTAGTGGGGCTCACCAATTATATTTAGAAATGAATAAAAATGTGTAAATTTGACTTAAGTTATGTGATTTTCCTTTTTCTTAACTTATTTATTTCAATCTTTATTGATGAATATTTGCGTATTTGCTTAAATCCTAAACTTCAAATGACATATTCTCTTTAATGTTAGTTGGCTTTATATAAAATTATTGTTAAGTCTTTGATTATCTAATTTTTTAAACCAAATGATGTTTAAATTATTTAGTTTCTAAAGAATTATTTATTATTCTATCTTTTTAAATAGGGGGAAAGCTAGTATAATTTTAATGAAAAAGAAATTATAAAATTGTTATGATAACGTAATTTGAAGTCACCACCAGCAATCGGCCATACTACATCGAATATACCGGATCCCATCAGAACTCCGAAGTCAAGCGGTGTAAGGTTCGGTTAGTACTAGGGTGGGGGACCACCTGGGAAGACCAGAATGTCGATCGCCTCCTTTTTAAATTTTTTTTCTTACCATTTTTATAATTTTTAAAACTAATCTATATTGTACTAAAGGTGGGTAGTTTTACTTTATAACTAATTTATCTAGATAAAAAAAGTTTTAAATTGTAATCACTCGATTATTGCTCTATTTTTAATATTATAGAGAATAAATAGCGGGCTTCAAGGAAAATTATTCTTACTTTTCTATAATGGCTGCATGCAAGCAATATAATTAAATTTAGTGCATTTGAAGTTTATATTACGTGGAAAAAAAATGAATTAAAATGAATTAAAAATTATTACCGCCATTAATTTAATTAAAATTTTATTCTGAACAGAACTATAATACAAATAAAAAAAGTTATTTTGATTTATAGTAATTAACAACAATTAAAAAATAATCATTATTATATTAATCTCTAACCCTGAAAAAGGGGAAAAATCAAAAAAATTAAAAAGAGGCGATCGACATTCTGGTCTTCCCAGGTGGTCCCCCACCCTAGTACTAACCGAACCTTACACCGCTTGACTTCGGAGTTCTGATGGGATCCGGTATATTCGATGTAGTATGGCCGATTGCTGGTGGTAACTTCAAATTGCATTACTATATTAATTTTTTCATTTTTTTTTATTAATTAAATATATCAAAAATATTAATATTAGGGATCCTAGATACTTATTATTGGTTGTTAAAAAAAAAAAATTAAAGAGTAGAGAATGATTGAAGCATGTTTGAATAACTTTTAAATCAATTTGCTGTTATTTTCAATTATTTAATCCTACTATTTATTTAAAAGTAAAAGTTGCTTTTAGTACGCTTTTTCCTTATATATAAATATTCTTACATGCAAAATTGGTTTTTAGTTTAAAATACTCCCAATGCAAACTTCCCGCCTTTTTAAAATTATTAAAATATTTTTTTCATGAATCAATTGTAAATAAAAATGGATAACGGTTTTATTTAGCCCGCCACTTTATATATTTAAAATGGAATTTAATCTAAAAAACTAAACAAAAATAAAACGATGAAATTGTAAATATAACTTATTGAAATAATTCATTTTGCCAATCAAACAATAAGTTCTTTTAATTAAGATTAAATATTAGTTATTAACAAAATTTTAAAAAGGAGGCGATCGACATTCTGGTCTTCCCAGGTGGTCCCCCACCCTAGTACTAACCGAACCTTACACCGCTTGACTTCGGAGTTCTGATGGGATCCGGTATATTCGATGTAGTATGGCCGATTGCTGACGGTACACTCTGGTGACATGACCATATCAATTTTAAATTATGATTAAAATACATAAAAATGGGGGCAAACCCCGTTCTAAACAAATTACAATTAATTAGACATAGGTATATTATTGTTACAATTGTTAGGTGCGGAAAAAAAAGAAATTAAATTAATAATATTAACATATTATTTTACTGCTTTAAAGTAGACATTACATAGAAATCGCAATTTTTTTCAGTAAAAATTTTTTGTTCGAGACAAAACTAGAGTTATCACAAAATAATATCTCTCGGGTATTTGCACTAATAGAAAAAGTTATCCATTTAATATTTGATAGGTCAAGATAACGATGAAGAATATTATTAGATATTTATTCGTTTTCATAGCAATATTTGCTTTAAACTCCTATTCCACACTTGCAGAAAACAATGAAGAAATTTTAAAAGAGCTAGACTTTTGTAAATACCCTGAAATGTATCCAGGAATTCACCTCCACTTCGGATATTGGGATGGGTTTAGAGGAAGAGGTAATTTAATCCGTCTTGTATTTGAACTTTCTCAACTCCCTTATATTGGGCATGCATTTGGTGGTTACAACCCCGAAGGTGCATTCGACTTTACAAATTGGTTTGGTAAACACAAATCTTTAATTTCACAAATAGACCCAAGCTCAACTCCAAATTTACCATTCCTAGTAGATTGTAGTAATACCAGTAAGACAAAGTTTATGACAGAAACATTAGATCTTATGATTTATTTGGCTAGAAAGTTCAATCCAAAACTTCTTGGTGAAGGATTAGCAATTCCAGAAAACCAAATAATGAGTGCCAGTATCACAGCAAATAATCTCTTTTCTGGATGGGTACAACATTTAATGGGAAAAGAGGGTTCTATTGAAGCTGTCTTAAATTCACCAGATTTCTTCACTGATGGTGATATTACTGGTGGGCCAATTATTACAATCTTCCAAGTTGAAGAGTTTGTTAAAAGTCAAGTACAACAATATGATGGCCCATTAACTTTTGGAAGTGATGCTACAATCCCTGATATATTTATCTATGAATTTGCAAATTTGATTAATACTTTGTTCCCTGGTATTATCAATGAATATCCTTCAATAAGAGGTTTAGTCGATGCTTTCAATGAAATCCCTCTTGTAACAAGATTTATTCACTCCGAGAGATCTGTAATCTATCCACCTTTAACTTCTGAGCTCTTACCTTTCCAATATTCTATGGCATTCAATCCTAGAAGAAGTTTCTCATCAGAAATCCCAAGACTTGGACAATATTTGGTATTTTATGGGCATTCAGAATCCACATCTGCTGCATCAATCTGTCTTTCCCATAAAGTATTCTCAACATCATCATCTAATGTTGATTCAGAAGAATTTAATGAAATGTATGGACTCCTTCAATTCCCACAAATTGTTGATATTGCAACTAGAGTGATTGGTAGAAATGCACTCGTTAGAACTTGGTATAGAGTCTTTAGAAAGCTTGGATCTACAAAAAATAGAATGAAGAAGAGTTGTGTTGCGATTCTGACATCTGGAAAGTATCATCAAGTCTCAATTTCAACCGAACAAGCCCAAGAAATCTGTTCCTCCTTTATTAACTGCTATACAAGCAGATCCACTGCATGGAATGCAACAAAAACTCTTATCGATGCTTCAAAGAGATTTAACTTCTTTGGTGGTTCAACTTCAGTATTTAATTCTGAGAGGTACTTTAAGAAATACATCACTGCTCCTTTGCTATTTGCAAAAGCTATCCGATTCTATTACACATCCAAAGTCATGCTTAAGAGTGGATCTTTCTCAAAGAAATCTATTGTTGAAATCTTGAATGAGACCCAGAAACAAGGTGCAGTCTCAACTTTCGGTTTCACTGTTAATAAAGAGCTTGCAATACAAATATGTACTGATTACTGTGCAAATAAGTTACCTCGTAAGAGTCTTTATTCATTCAAAAGTTCATACTCTATGCAAGCCTTATGTGAAACATCCTTTATGTCCTATTATCCAAATGAATCTTCAGAACTTGCTGTCGAAAAGGCTTCAACTTTAGTTTCTCTTCTCGATCAAATTTCAAATTAATTATGCTTTAAAGTAAAATAGCATCCTTAAACAAGGATAAGGAGATATTTTGAATATTTACGAAGAGAGACTTTCAATATTTAACTTTGCATTGTATTTCGATCAAGTTAGCTGGCTTTTACTCAGGTCTGATGACAATAGCTATCTCCTGAGTTCGTATGAAGGTTTATTTTCGTATATCCACTATGCTTACTTTTCTGTATTAACAGATTAAAATTTTGAAATATCAGCGCTTCAAGGATGCAAGTAATTATATTTTGCATTGTAGCATGCTTTTTTTTTAGCTTTTTGATACTCATTTTTTTCCCAAATTCTTATTTAACTCTATTGTACTTCTTCACTTCTTCCTTTTTTCCTCCTGATTTACATTTAAATCACGAAATCATGTGCTATTTCATTCTTATCTGGTTCTCTATTTAAACAATAATCTGAAATACCGTCCATACTTACAGAAGTTACCCATCCTGGATTGAAGAATGTACTGCACATATCAGCACTTATATTCATAAAACCCTTATTACCCCAACTCAAACCCCAACTATTCTTCATTATATAATACCTTTTCCCCGATTCACTTACTCCATATCCTATTAAAGTCACTGCATGATCAACTTGTCTTGTTCCACACCAAATACTTCCACATGTTGGTGGTTCATAATACCCCCCTGAATATAAATTAAATCCTGAAACCAAGAAAATTATTAATCATCTTATTAATTCCATTCAAAAACACTTACCAGGCATTAATGAACAAACACTCACTGTTACTGGCCCATAGTTATATATCGCATCAGTAATTACATCCCAAGGATCTTCATATAAAATGCTTGAACCTGTATAACTCCATTTAAAGTTTTTTATTCCTACACACTCATTGCAATTACTTTTACACTCTCCAAGTTTACCTGTTTTATGTGTTGTTGATGGATAAGAATCTCTTGTACATACTTTGGATTTAATTGCATAGTTGAATACCTCAAAAGTCTGTCCACCACTACAAGCTTTTACTGACCCTTTACTTTGAAGCCAACAATCTAAAGAATGTTGTTGAGAAAGTGGAGGAATCCGTTTTCCTAGTTGTCTACATGTTGCTCCTTCTATTGCAGATAATGCTGAGAAATTATAACAATTTGCACATTTTCCTTGGTTATCTGGGAAAGTAATACAACTTCCTCCATTCTTCCTATTTGCTTCATTACTTCTTAAATCAAAACTTTCTGGAATCCTAAAAGGAGAATAGAGAATTAAGTTCAAAATTATTAGTTTTCTCTCTTTCTTTTTTTTTTATTAACTTTACTTACTTTGATGCCAAATTCCTTTTTACATTACCTTTATCCAATATTAAAGAATCAATCTTATTTTGCTAACAGAAGAAAATTCATCAAAGTCAAAATAAGAAAATCTCATTTTTTTTTTAACTTACATCTTTTGCTGTAATTTCAGCCAGCTCCCCTGAATAAATATCCATGTTTGCATAATTCTCAACCTCCTCTTCTTTTGAAAGGGAATAATGAGTCAAGTCAAATTCTGCAGTTGGCATTAATCTATATGGAATATTTAAAATATAATTTAGGGTTAATTGTTATCATTATTTGTTTTCTTTAATATTTATCTTACCTTCTTGACTTATATACCATATCAATCATTCCAAAGCAGTGTTCAAAGTCCAGTA